GAGAGAGCGAGAGAGGGAGAGAGGGAGGGAGAGACTAGGGCAGACTACAAGCAGAGTAGCTGGTTCCGTATGTCCGAACTTCCATCACACTGGTCTACCTCAGGCCAAAGCTGTCGCTGTTGAACTTCTCCAACGCATCGGTGGCTGCCAGTAGCGATGCCTTGCCGAAGGATGCTCCCTCAACGTAGCCGCGGAGCCTGGGGAAGAGAGACGATGGGGCCCTGAGGCCAGTCCTTTCTTGGGTTAGTGCCGTCTAGTTTCCATCTCTCCAATGAAACTCGACAGCTTCACTCCACTCCAAGACTCCAAGCTTTGAGCAGCACTATCATCCTTGATTCCGAATCTTCGGCAGCTGTTAGTTGGTCTGCCCTCGGGTCGGGGAATGGCTCTGAAGTTGCAGGTTGTCGCCGCGGAAATCCTGCATGCGACTGACTTGAGAATCTAGCACTTTAGCAATCCGGTTAGGTACTATGGCTGTCATGCGCTGTTCCCAATGTGTTTTTAGAAGCTGAGGTATCCCGAGAGTGAAGCTCTTGGCCCAAACCCGTCCCTTGCCAAGGGACTCCGACTGAAGCTTGTGTGTCTGTTGCCTCAGCCAGCCGACTCAGGCGTCGTCTGGTTGAGTCAAGGTGGTCGCTAAACAGCGGCGAAGCAAGCAGACTCAGTGGACCCGATGCTGCAATGTGGCTTGATCGCCAGGAACAGCTCCTTCTTGTCTCCACCTGAACCCATGTTGAACTCATCCTGAAACTTGTGGAATATACACCTCGAAACTGGACCAACAGTGCAACCTGAAGGACAACCAAGCGCATAACAACGGCACGATGACACATATCGTGACTACGATTGCCTATAGTCCTATAGGCCCTCTCCTCTCGCATCGTTCGGGTGGTAGTTAGAATTCTCGTGGTAGGTATAAGCACTGCACCGAAACTAATCCCGGCTCTCATGACATGAGACGGCCTCAACAAAGGAGCCTCAAGTGCATGAAAGAGCTCAGTAGTCACCGGCCTGCGAGGAGCTCCTTGATGTTGGTGAACTGCTTTGTGTTCTCCTGTCCGCGACCGAATCTCCGCGACCGACTCTTGCATTGCGTCTTCTACGGGGCCGGGGACAGTTCTAGTACCCCTGACAGTCTTCCTCTGTGAACTTAGGATGGTGCATAAACGGACGGCCAGCTTGAACCCCTCAAAATCTCCACCCCGGATCGCGAAAAGAGAGGGATCAGGGCGTAAGGCTTCGATCACGTTGATTCTAAAAGGCTGAAGACGACTATAGTCGCTGAGGCATGCTGTTGCCACAGACCGAGATCTGCCGAGGCACAAGGTTTTGCACCACGGTTTGGTGATCAATCTTCTCCTGGGGGTGTGCGTCTCTGGATCCACAATTAAGCAAGGACCGGTGGCGTGACATCTCTACCATGGGCGAAAATTTCTTGAAGCCCTCGCTGCATTCACGGCTGCTCGCTCTCTCAAATTTATCTCTCTCTCATTCTCTGGCCAAGCCAAGCTGTGTTCGAAGCCCACTACAGGTATCCCGCTGAGTGTGCATGTTCCTCCCATTCACTGTGACACCACTTCCCCCTTCAGGGTCGAGAAGGGTGATTCCTTTCAGCTTCAGGCAGTGCCACACGCCAAGGGGATATTCTTCCAGTTTTAGATGCGGCTTTGGCTGCCGGTGCTCGACCTCTCGGCCAGTGTCCAGCTTTGTTTCTCGGTGATGGATCATCGAGGATGACGGAAGAGCTTTTGTTCTTGCGAGGCCTATCATGCCAAGTGCCCAACTCCCGGACTGCTGAGTTCGATGTGGTCTTCCTGTCGCGCATGTTCAGGAGCACAGGAGTTTGCCAGGTTCGATCGTGCCCCCGCCACGGCCCCGTGCGTGTTTCGAAACGGAAATCGTGTCAGCGCCACAGCGAGGTGCGCAGTTTCGACTCTTGCTGTCGGTGCACCTGAAACGGTTCTCGGGTATGTAGGGCCTCGCCACCGTGCCATCTTGCTGTTTGGAGTTTGCGCTGGCATGTGTAGTGTTGGCGCTTCGCAGCTACGAACGCGAGAAGCACAGCTCTCACTGATGGGAGCACACAGGAGATGCCACCAGGTCCAAAGCAAAGCTGCTTGTAGCAAATAATACGGAAGTTCTTGAGCACCAGCATTTGGAGGATAATCCAGGCAAGTCTCGGCCAGCCAAGAAACATCGAGCTGCTGAGTTTTGACAATCCACTCCTGAATTGAGGGCTTCATGGCCTACAAACGCTTTGGTGGAGGATCCGTGGGTTTGGGGTGCACGGCCTGCAAACTGGCGTAGCATGAACGGTCTTTCGTCTTAGTTCTGGGTGATGTCGCGGATAGCAGCTTAAGTAGGGTGTTAGGCTTTGGTGTTGATGCATTGGAACACCATTAGCCTAAGCAATATTTCTAAATTCAAGCAAGACTGCGCTTCCCCCGAAGCTAATGTCACATCAGATTTTTTGGAAACCATGACAGCTTGGACGAGAGACGGCCAGCTTCGCAGTGTTGCCATTTGTGATGTCCTCGGTCGAGCTGGGTAGCCGTGCTTAACCGAAAAGGAGACACAGGCCGCCCACCGTGGCTTTCTTGAGGTTGCGGAGGATGGTTCTGTCTCCTGAAAGCAACGCTCTCAGAGCGCACAGCCCGAATCCCCCACGTTCGTTCTTGGGTTCTGACGCCTGGCCGCCAGCAAAGGGGAACTTACCTAGGGCTTCAGCTATGTTGAACGCCGTGGATGCACCTTGCTGGCACAAGTCTAGTTGAAAACGCGTGAGGAGTGAATCTGAGTGGACCTACATCGCGGGATGGAACAGATACAGGGATGAAACGCAGCATTCGCGGAGACTCACGGCCTGAGGTTTGCATCGACCCGACAAACCTCCCTTCATCCTGCTTCCATGTGGGATGCTCGGACCTGAACTTTCACAATCGAAACAACTGCGGTGATCTCCTCTGATCACCGCATCCCGGACGCAGTGAACATCGCCTTGATGCGGGGGATTCAAGGACGAAGAGGAAGACCAACGCTTTCATCCTCCATCTTTCCTAAAGCGGGAAGACATGGCGGCTCCGAGCGGCAGAACATCCTCGCGAAGTTCGCCTGGGCGGCGGAGCAGTCTTTCGAGGCCGCCTCGGCTCCGAAGCGCACAGCGCCGCTATGCGCCGCTTTCGCTTTCTCCTGTCCCCTCTAAAAATGATGCGAAAACCCCCCGAAGCAAAAACTCAAGAACCATAGCGAATCATCACCCCTGCAAGGGCTCAATCTTCTACTCGGCTGCTTTCACCTCTGCTCGGCAGTTCTTGGGTTTGTCCCAGCAGCTGAGTTGATTTGGCTCTGCAGGATCTCCGCTCCCGTGTACTGCAGGGTCAGGGTTTTACTCTGACGGTCCGGGTCGGTAAGCGTTAAGACAGCATGACAAGAAGTCGACAAGCTTGAGACTACACGAGTTTTGTCGAAGGTGCTGACATGCTTCCAGGTCTTCCTGTTTCCTTTGAGACGTGCTGCGCAGGCTCGCACCCTGCACGCAAGTGGCCGAGCCTGGAGATTCCTTCCACCCCAGAGTCTCGGACTTTTGCGAAGTTCGGTGACGGAGTTTAGCACGATCGAAAATTACCCCATGCAGTGAGACCGGGAATGTGCAACAAGCCTTCGTTCGGGCTTAAGCTCTGGGCCTTGCGACTTTCCGACATTCGCCGTGATCAGTATCGGAAGCATTTCAAGGCCCCGGCGGCTCGGGCGGCTGGGCTTCGGGGTCCTTGAGGAGCTTGACGCCCGCATAAACAGAATTGACGATGCCCTTGCAAACGTCGGCCAAGTCTGCGCCTGAGCCACTCAACGAGTGTACCACGCGTGTTCGTCTAAGTCTGCCCCTGCATTCTCAACCATCCGTCTTCACTCTCTCTCAACCCATCTACTGCCCTTGGCCACCCGGCTTGCTCCGAAGCCCATGGGAGATGTGATGATCTCCGGTGCAAAAGTGCACGCCCTCAGCCAGCACCACAAGCCGTGGATTGTGGGGATGCGAGATGAAGGGATGATGAGAAGGAGCTTGGGTGCTAGCTTTCCTACGCCCTAGCTGCATGCAAATCGCTGTCGCGAGCTGTGGGACTACCGGCTGTACAATGTACAATGTACAAGATATGTGCACACTGCACACCAGTTGGCATCTGAACACACTGTGAAGAACACGCATTCTGTAATTTCCGCTGTGCCGTCCCCTTGTTTAGGTGGATCTATATGAAGCATGTAAGAAGAAAGGTTTCTGTGCGTTTCGGTCTCTGGGAAGACACCCAGGGTTCAGAGCTCGAGTCCCGAGTGCCTGTGGCAGTGCAGTAAGGCTGGGTGGGATAATGGCCATCCCGGGAGACTCGAGGCAAAGCAGGGGCATTGGCAAGAAGATGTGTAAGCCGAGAGCACGTGGTTGCGATAGTTGTAGGAAGGTTCATGCCCTCGATGAGAAAGTTCAGGTGCCGGAAGACCTCCCAGGGAGAAGCTGGCAGCTGGTTCCCAAAACGAGATACGACGGGCTCCCTACGTTTCCGAAGCAGGTGCCTCGATTCGAACCTTCAACTGGTGTGCGGAACGTAATCGAACACGCTGAATTCGGAATCTTGCTATTCTTACTCCTTTCCTTATGCTCATCTCCTCGCCTCCTGGCCCTTGAAGGCCACAGCGCCTGATCGGTCGAGGCAACCTCAGACGGTGCGAAAGAACGAAGGCTGGAGATTGGACTCCTTCCTACTTCGGGATCCTCCCGAGCCACAGTCCGACAGCTCAGCGCCTCATACGCCTTCCGTGGCTTCAAGAGACAATGGCTTTCTCATGTTCTCTGCTCGAGGGTCAAGACTTGCCTGAGCCTCTCAGCCTCCTTCGCAAGGCGGCTTCGAGAAGCAACTGAGGGCTCCACCCATCAGCTCGTTCTGGGCAGGAGTGTAGCTTTGGATTGCCGGACTCACCGATGCAGTGACGTGACGAAATCTTTGGAGAATTCACAGAGCGGGTGCAAGTTTTGAGCATGTCGGACATCGGACATCTTGTCATTTCATCACTACATGTCTCAGTTGCGCCAGTGCTGCAAATACACGTGAGGAGCTGCACATATCCCGGAATATGTGAGGCTCAGACAGCTTCATCCAGTTCAGTGTTCTCCACTTCTTGCTGATTCTCAATGAAGCAAGCATACCAAACAGCCGCTCTCAACAGGTAAGAAGAACAAAGCTACAAACGAAATTCGCAGTGACACTTGCGCCCACAAGCATGAACAAATACCCTGCACTGCAGGGCTACGTCGCTGAATGCCCTGTACCCCACACTGCCAGAGCGTCCAAGAGTCATAGGGCATTGGCTTCTGGATTGCCTTGCCATCCCCTCCGGCCCACTTGCCTTAGTGCAACAACACAGTGGCTGCACTCCCTGCAAAAGACATGGCAGGCAGGCGCGTGTGTCAAAGTTCCGTGAACCTCTTGTGCAAGCGCCACGGGAAGCTAGAGAAGCACAGAAGGACTGGTGACCAGAACTCGTCTGCTCCTACTCTTGAACCCCGACAGTTCATCGCCTGCAACCTGGTTTGGCTCCTCTCAGGAAGCGGCTCCGGATGCCGCCGTAAGTACCCGCAAGGTCGCTGCATAGCCTCTCGGGGAATCAACAACAGGGGTTTTGGAAAGCTTCTGAACTCTTCTCTGGACCCCGCGCTCTAAACCCTGCGCCTTTCACTTGGCCTGCCTATCTGTCGATCCTCAATCCCGAGGCTGTTCTACAAGGAAACGCTGTTCCGAACCCTCCGTGCCTTGTATCCGGCCTGGGATTCTTCCTCAGTCGCAAGCCTAGGCAGCTGCGACGGATTGGCCCATGCACTCACATGGCAAGTACTGAAGCGTAAGTCCTAACACGCCACATCTGCAAATCTGGAGGACTTCAGTGGATTGGACACGTTAATGCTTTACATATTTCATCTCAGCAGCTCCTCTGCATTCGACTCCTCCTCTCCAGCCTCATTCACAGTTGTCTCCTGTCATGAGGCGCGTTCTGCGCCTTGTGCATGGTGCCGTCAGGCCCTCAGCTTCTAAGGTCAAGCGCAACTGGAGAAGAGTCCCGCTTCGCCAGTGAAACAGCTCCGGCGTCCTGCACCTTCTTCCACAGATCTCCATACCCGACCTGGGCGTGTCCGCAATGTATGCAAATGCCTCCAGCATTGCAGTTAGATGCAACCGTCTTGTAACCTTACAGCAGCACCCGACTTGGATTCACGATATCTACGAGCAGCCTGCTGCCTGCCATCACCATCACTTCGTGCACATGCAGCCCATGCAGATTTTGGCCACGAAACGGTTAGAGACACAAGCTTCCCCTGGAACACCCGAACAAACCATCTTCTTGGCCCTTGGCTGGAGACTTTCAAGACCTTTGGGACCTCACAGTCTTGTAAGTAGCCGTTTAAATCACTTAATCCATTTTGCCAAAGTCACGCACTTGTCCGAGTACTTGGGCATCTCTGGCCTCCAGCTGAGCACTGAGGTGAAACTGATGAAACTGCTCGCAATACTTCGAAACACTTCGCAGTACTCTGTATAAGGCTTCACCGCAAAGATAAGCGAAGCCCGAATCACCCTCGACACCGCAAGCAGGCGGTGCTTATCAGTCTCATGCTTGGGAAAGAAGGGCTTGAAGGTCAAGGAACTCTTTACTCGCATTTCGCGGAGCACGGTCTTAACTTCCGGCAAGCAGCTCGAAGGTCTCAAGCTTGGGCTTTTTGGGAGCCTGCACAGCAAAGTTCTCCGCTGTTCAGAGCTGCCCTTCTCGCCGCAATTTCCGGCCTTGGGCCGCCTTGGGGGTGGTGGAGGCTTCACCTGTGAAGGCGGAAGCAGATTGGAGGTGCTTTCATGGCTAAGGCTTGATGCTCAGGAAACCATTCAATGTTTCAATTTCAGAAGCTCCGTGAAAACGAGCTGACCCACACTTGGTCGTAAGCTTGATGTTCAACGCCCCAAGAACTCAAGGAGATAATCATGAGACAGTCCTTCATCACTTCCATTTAACTTCATAACTATAACTGTATCATCAAACCCCGCAGGCACGAAGTGCAACTCAACCACCACATGTCTGGATCTGGTGCGGCCGACCTTGGGCACCGGTGACTGGCCGAGGAGGCCTCCAGCGTTGGGCTTCACGCCCTTCGCCTGCAAGCACCACGGAAGGGTGGCTGCACGGCTTGCCAGTATCTCGACCTACGAAACCTAACGATCACAACTAACAAGGCGTTCAGTGATGTTGGAGTTGCGACAGCGTCGCTTCTTCGAGGCTTATTGGCAGATAGTTCTTTACCCAGCTTCAGACACCAGCAATGTGCCGGGAATTCAGAAGAAACGTCATGCTGAGCACTACATCACGAGGACGAAAGTTTTGACCTGCTGGAC